ATTCTCAGTTGAGCGGGGCCTTTAACTTGGAGTCAAACATCTTTGTACACACTGCTTAATAAAACACAATAAAACACACATTTTTCTCTTCGGCTAGCTCTCGGGGCTTAATGGTGGCTACATTCCCTTCATAGGTAAAGATTCCCTGACATGTTAACAATTGCATGTTAGCAATTGCAGATATTTGGTATAAGATTGTAAGTTCTATATCAACTTAAAATTTTCCTCAGTCAGGAATCCAAGTAGGAATGTGAAGAAAAATGTAAACAAATGTATTATTTGCAAAATTCCTACAATTAATGGTCTCACCTTTTTAGTGTCTTATGGCTTAGCTGGTGTATATGTGTATGTTAAGTACATAGTGTCAAATCACATGACTGGTAAGGAATTTACTTTTGATTCTTTTTCTTGACCTTGTTCTCTTCTCCAAATATGCATCAGCTTATAAGGGTTCATGATTTTGAAGCTTGAGCCTTTAAAAAGAAGTTTTAATATGCCCTGGCAGGGTAGCTCAGTTGGTTAGAGTATCATCCTTATACGCCAAAGTTGCAGGTTCGATCCCTGGTCAGGGCACATATAAGAGTCAACCAATGAATGCATAAATAAGTGGGACAACAAATTGATGTTTCTCTCTCTAAAATCAATAAAAATAAAAAAACACTTTAACTTTGCATTAACCTTGTTCTGTTGCAGAGGGAAAAACTGAAATGAAAAAGAAAGTTTGAACCCTTTTGGAGAACTGTGACTCAGAGTTACTCTCGGACATTGTTAGCATTTTTATAAAAGTTTCAGAATTAAAAAAAACTAGTCATTTTTAGTATTTGCAAAAGTCTGGAAGTACATGTTTTGAATATTAGTCCCTTTTTACAGTTTTGCCTATTATAAAGAACATGTGAGGATTCAGTATGCGAAATGTGCTCTTGGTCCACAGAAAAAGCTTATCATTTGAACTTGGCACTTCGTAGTAGATGGATTTTTAGCAGCCTATTAACTCTAGGCACTTCTAGCAGTCTTGGATGTTAAAGTGCCCTTGGCCATTATTTCTGAATTCCTAGGAGGCTCTTGGGTGCTTGGGTCCAGCCAGTGCAATGATCTTTGATGGCAGTATTTCCTCTCCATGCCTTTGCCTAAGGGAGCCTTCTGGGAGCTGAGATTCCCAGAACTATACTGTGGACTAAGCCATCCCCCAAGCCATCCTAGGGCCCAATGTCAGATTTGGAAAGCTTGGTAGAAAGAACAGAGGAGTGAATGCCTGGGAACTTCAAAGAGAGCACAAGTTCCTCTGTAACTTTTTATTGGTCTGGTGTGCTATTATAGGTATGTCTGGGGTGGTAATGCTTCTGTGATACACATTCAAGTTTGAAAACCACTGGTAATCTTCACTTTCTTTGTTGAATTTTGACTTGCTGTGATACAAAACAGTGGTCTCCAAAGTGGGGCACATATATAGTAAGACATTGAAAAGCAGGAGGAATATTACAAAATATGTGCATAATATTTTGTCACAGTATTGGTATATCTGTTCATATACATAATTAAAAATAAATTCACATATATGGGAGATACTTGGACAACCTTAGGCAAGTTGCTTAAATGCTTTAAAAGCCTCAGTTTTTTCATATATAAAATGGGGATATAATACCTATTTCTCAGGGTTGTGAAGATGAGATGAAATAATCTATACATATACTAGTAAAAGCTTAAGTGATCGTCAGGCCGTTTGACTGTTTGCCTGGTAGCTATGACACACAATGACCACCAGGGGGCAGACTATCCAACCAGTAGAGGAGGGTGCCCGATTCCTCGCAGAATCAGCCATGGCCCAGGGTAGGCCAGATCATATAGACAAGTCATCAGTTAATAAAATTTTTGAGTAATAAATAGTTAAGTGTATATATGCAAAAGGTAGGCCATAAAAGGAATTTGTCTAGAGCTGAGAGCTGGCTGCCTCTAAAGACTTTTCAAACGAGGTAACAAGTATGCTTAAATACTTTCATTTGAACAGAAAGATATAAATAGAAAAAAATAATCTGTTTCTAGATTTTATCAGTAGCCACTGATTGTCCTTACTAGGTATACAACTTATAACAATACTGTTATACACTGTTTTGTATCACCCTGGGTTAGGTTGCTGCTGGGGCTCTGTCAGCCCGAAGTCTTCACCTGCATCCCGGACCCAGAGAGTGGTTTTGGCCAGATCCCTGCAGGCCAGTCCGAGGGTCTGTGCACCGGGCCTCTAGTTACAGTGCCTGGTGTATGATAAGCATTCAATAAATATTGGCCTTGGCTGGTGTGGCTGGTTGGGCATTGTCCCATGCACCAAAAGATCACTAGTTCGATTCCTGGTCAGGGCACATGCCTACACTTCAAGTTCAGTCCCCATTTGGGAGGCAACCAATCAATGTTTCTCACACTGATGTTTCTCTTTCTCCCTTTTTTTTCTAAAAAAAAAAAACAATTAAAAATAAATATTGGCCGAAACCGGTTTGGCTCAGTGGATAGAGCGTCGGCCTGCAGACTGAAGGGTCCCGGGTTTGATTCCGGTCAAGGGCATGTACCTGGGTTGCGGGCACATCCCCAGTGGGAGATGTGCAGGAGGCAGCTGATCGATGTTTCTCTCTCATCGATGTTTCTGACTCTCTCTCTCCTTTCCTCTCTGTAAAAAATCAATAAAATATATTTTTTAAAAATTAAAAAAAAAAATATTGGCACTATTATCATTGCACTGGGTAAATGGGAATGGGTTTTCTTATGCTGTCTTTCAATATTGCTATATCTTTCAATATTGTTATAAGTTGTATACCTAGTAAGGACAATCAGTGGCTACTGATAAAATCTAGAAACAGATTATTTTTTTCTATTTATATCTTTCTGTTCAAATGAAAGTATTTAAGCATACTTGTTACCTCGTTTGAAAAGTCTTTAGAGGCAGCCAGCTCTCAGCTCTAGACAAATTCCTTTTATGGCCTACCTTTTGCATATATACACTTAACTATTTATTACTCAAAAATTTTATTAACTGATGACTTGTCTATATGATCTGGCCTACCCTGGGCCAGGCTGAAGTTGTTGGAGAAGGAATGAAAAATGTTGGGTTGGGTCTAAATTGTATTACCAGGGTGTACACTTTTGAGAAGAAATGGGAGGTAAATAAAATAGTTTGGCATTTGAAAGTGTGCTCTTGTTGCAATTGAAGTGGTGATAAATGGCTATGCTCTTGAAAAACCTCTACCTTCAGAACTAATTGTACATTGTACCAATATTGCACCTCATTGTACTATAGCACCTCATTAAAACCAAACTGAGATAATTATCAGAAAACACCAGATCATTGCATTTAACATTATTATGTTTATCTGAGTTTTTGTTTACCTCACCAAATGTAAACTGACTGAGATCAGGGACCATGTCCTGCATCCCTAGTACATGGCAGTCAATAAATACCTGTTGAATTGACTAGTCACTTGTCCACTGTCATAAAGCTAGTAAGTGGTAGACCTGGGATTTAAATTCACATCTACCTTCACCTATTTCACAGTCCCACAAGAAAGACATTGTCTTCATTTCACACATATAAAAACTTTTCAAAAGAGCAGTGATTTGCCCAAGGTACCACAGGAGGTTAATGGCAAAAAGGTGTTCAAACCCAGGAATATCTGATTTCTGTTACACTCTGTCTACTCCATTGGACTTGCAAATCATTTGACTTTGTTAATACAAAAGTTTCTGTTTCTTACGTGGTTTTATGTACAAATACCACTTCAGGTAAAAGTTTAGAATTACGGATCTGGAATAGTCATAACGGTATGGGAGATTACAAAGCATTTTCAAATTCCACTTCAAAAATAAAGCAACTGTGCTTAGAGAAAATATTTTAAAAAGTGTTTTGGAAGGATACTTAACATGCTCTAAAATGTGTACACATTTTAGCTATTTCATATATTGATGATATTCCTTTTCTATATAAACAATACTAGTATGACCAGTCTTGTTTTCTAGTATTTTTATAATAGTTAAAATGATATTTAGAATCAAGTTATGAAACTCTGCCTGCCAGAAAATGAATGGGCTTGCCCGTTTCTTTGTTTTAGTTGATTTTTAGAGAAGAAGGAAGAAACATCGATTATGATATCCAAACATCAATTGGCTGCCTCCTGCATAGCCCTCAAATATTCTTGATTGCTTAGGCAAAAAGGACAGGCACCCGCCTCTAGCCTCTTTGCACTTCTTAACGAAGTGTCTTCCTCTCAGCAGCCTTCCTTTCTGACATCTTCGCATTCCTGGAAGGAAGAACTGGGGAAACTAATCCCTTCCGCTAAGTGATTTGTATGGGGTGACTGATTCACCAGAAATCTCACAACTACATTAAAAGGGCGCGTTTGTAAGCAAATTCCTTGTCCCGTCCTTCTTGTGATGTGGAATGAAGAATGGCGATTCTGAGGAGGTCATGGATATAAAAACTTTAAATTATAGGGTGTTCCACAAAATGAGGCATTTCGTTATCGCATAATCCTGGACCTGAGGGTCCAAGCACCACTTTTTACTTGAATACTTCCATTTTGTTTGGAGGCGGAGGTCTCACTCTACCTATCCATAAGCAACGGAGGGGGCAGAGGCTGAGCCCTTTTAATATGCTTGTAGCAGCACCTCGCACAGTAAGACTCATTTTTGTGCGAACAGCACTTAAAAGCACAGTTCCTCGAACATGACTGCTGGGTTCAAATCCTAACTCCATTAATCCTATAACCTGAGAAATGAGGTCAGTAGTATAGTTCCAGCATCACAGAATTTGGGTGAAAATCAACCCACGTAAGGAAGTTACTTCCTTTGTGGCGGGTTCCTCCAGCCCAGCTGCAGCCCACGGTCTGCGCTGGATCCAGAGAAGCTCGAGTCTAAGCCCCGGCCCCCTGCCGGTCCCCACGATGCACATGCGCATTCCGGCTTCCCCGTTACCTTCCCCGAGCTTGCGTGCTGGTCGTCGGCGGGAGATTGGATCTCGCGATGTGCGTGCGCGTGCGCGGTCCTTGCGAGCTCTCTTGCGCTCCACCCCCACCCCCTCGCAGTCCGGGGCTGTATCGGCCTCTTCCTCCTGCGGAGTCCCGGGCAGGACCCTCAGCTGTGGCCACGGCTGGAGCCGGGAGTCGCCACCTCGCCGTCGCCGCTCCAGCTGCCTGCCCCTCTGTCTTGGGCTCTGCGTGCAGTGCAGAGGCGGCGGGCTGGGAAGGGAGCGTCGCCAGCGTGAGGTTCCCAGCCGATGGGCAGCCCCTGGGCGCACTGAGGGGCTGGGCTACTAGCGGCTGAGGTAGGTGGACCCGGGGGGAGTAGTCAACTCGGCTGGGAGTAGAGTCGGGGCGGAGGACGATCGTGGAGGAGGCAGGGAGGCGGCGAGAACGGGGGCCTGCAGCCTGGGGAGGAGAGGTCTGGGACCCGCGCCCAAGGAGGGGCTCTGGCCTAGCCCGGAGCGAAAGGAGGGCTCTGGACGTAGTCTCGGCTTGGAGCCATTATTGGGGGGAACTTCTCTTGCGGCGGGCGGGAGGGGTCATCCTTTCTTCTCTCTGAGAGGTCAAAGCCAGCAGCCCTCCGCCCCCTTCATTAAAGCCTGCTGGCTTCCACAGGGACATCTGAATGGAGTGGCCTGTGGACTTGCACAGCTCGCAGAACCCCGGGTGCACGGACAGTGGGCGAGGGGTTCTGATTGTGGAGGGTACACCTCTCTTTCTCTGGTGTGGGCGTGTATGGGCTGCAAAGTTGTTGCTAGTACATTAATGATGGCGTCCGGGCACAACAGGTGCTACATCTCCGAACGCCGCATGTCAACCGAGGATTCTGGCCGCGGGACCCTGCGCTTTGGGGCGCAGTTAGGGAGTAGGAAGAAGACAAAGGAGGTCGTTATTTATGTTCTGTCCTGGGGTCAGGACTTTCCTTGCTGGGCTGCATGCGGAGCTCCTGGCATTTGTTTGGTCTTTGCTGAATAGACTTTCTGGGTGATTGAGGTGGGTGAGTCACAAGTTGATTTCCATTTAGAATTATAAAACCGTATATGATTCTGTATAATTGTTTGAAGCCAAATGACCTGAAATAAGTCTCTGATAATTATGTTATGTTGGATCTTTGGAAGAGAGCGGAACTTGGAATTCCTGAAAGGAAGATTTTCTCCGAGTGTAGAAAGCTTCATGAATGTTTTGAAAATTACTGAAAACATCATTCTTTATGTTGGCCGTAATGACCACATTCAAGAGACGGGAAAGGAATTATTTTATACTAGAGGCCCAGTGCATGAAATTCATGCATGGGTGTGGTCCCTAGGCCTGGCCGGTGATCGAAGCAGGAGCGTCTGGCATGGAAGGGCAGGTCCCAGCTGACCTCCGGGCCCTGGGCAGCACCTGGGCCCCTGGGCCTCCACGCACCCCCCTCCACCAGTTATCTGCCAGGTTCCCTCAGTGCCTGGGAGCTGGGCGGCAGCCCCCCCTACCCCCCCACTCCTCCCATCCCCCCACCCCCCGTTGCTGCCGCTGGTTGCCATCTGGGGCCCGCTCACACCTGCCTTGGCCTGGTGCCACCCGCTCACCTGCTCCACCATCCCGCTGTGGTCCTGCTCTGGTTGAGGCCCATTAGGGCTGGCAGCACCTCCACTGCCGCCTGCTGCCTTCCGGCAGCGCATCACGGACACCCACCCTGTTCTGTGCCCTCCCGGTGGTCAGCACATGTCATAGCGAGCAGTTGAGAGACAATTTGCATATTAGGCTTTTATTATATAGGATAAGATAGAACAGTTCACCAAAAGACTTTTGGGGTTAAGCACACAGTAAAACAACTTCAGGATGGCTAATTTATACTTTAAAAATTATAATTTAGTCATAGTTAAACATATTCAGTGAACCTTTTTACTTTTATTATATTTTAATCCTCACGAGTATATTTTTCCATTGACTTTTAGAGAGAGTGGAAGGGAGGGGGAGAGAGAGTGAGAGAGGCAGGCAGTCAGACATCGATTTGTAGCTTCCTGCACCGCTCCTGATTGCGCAGAGCCTGCAACCGAGGTAATCAACCCGGGGACTCTACAGTCCAAGGGCCATCGCTCTATCCACTGAGCCAAACCGGCTAAGGCAGTGAGCCATTTTAAAAAACATCCTTTGGTAGTCCACACAGCCTGTTCTGTAACGATTGACTTTCAAGTCCAAATTTTCCAGAAACAGAATTCATTCTGACTTAAGAAATGTGTTCTGGCCCTAGCCAGTTTGCTCAGTGGATAGAGTGTCGGCCTGCGGACTGAAGGATCCCAGGTGCGATTCCAGTCAAGGGCACATGCCCAGGTTGTGGGCTCCATCCCCAGTAGGGGGTGTGCAGGGGGCAGCCGATCAATGATTCTCTCTCATCGTTGATGTTTCTATCTCTCTCTTCCTCTCTGAAATCAATAAAAATATATTTTTTTAAAAAAGTAATGTGTTCTGTCTACTTTCTATGAACTCTGTATTATTAGTGTATGGTAAGAGTCTTTCGAGAAGGAACAGTTAGCTGGCAAGGCGTGAATTGGCAGTAGGGAAGGATTATTAAGTGTAAGATTGATGCTTGTATATACAAATATTGCATGCATATATATGTATATACACACACATATATATACACACACACACATATATGTGTATATAAGTGCATAACTATATATATATAGTTATGCACTCAAAGATCTAATGGTGCTGATTCCTATCTTAACAGGTTGAATCTGAAAGTAGAAAATGATTGGTTTTAGCTGTTTCCTATTTTAGTTAACTATTTATATGGGTAACTGTAATAAATTTCTTTCCCAGCTTATTACTCAGTTATGGAGTAAGCAGAATACTGTACTGATTTCTTGGAAGTAGCAGGGAAGGAAAATATAGAACCATATAGAAAGACTGCCCTTTAGAAATGTTTTTTAAGCCAGTGTGTCATTGTCTTTTCATTGGAATAAACAGCTTTACTCCTGTCTATTGTGTTTTAGTGCTGAGAATAGTGTTTTGCATGGAGTTGGCCCTCAATAAATGTGAGCTTTGTCAGAATTAATATTATATAAACCAAATGCATACATTCCTGGAAAAGATTAAAGGAGTTGAATAAAGGTGCTTTTTAATTTTTTTAATTGAAGAACTACTTTTTTAATGTTTTTCCCCCCAATGTTGGTTGTTCTCTGAGTAAAGGATGTCTAATAGCATCTTGCCTCTAAAAGCGTAAGGTAATATGGGAGCATTTCAGATCTTGCTTCCCAGCATATGTCATCAGTTTGGCTCAAATAGACTCAAATATTTTCAGCCCTGGCCGGTGTGGCTCCATTGGTTAGGTGTCATCCCGTCCGGGTGCAGGTTCTGATTCCCGGTCAGGGCACATGCCCAGGTTTCGGGCTTGTCCCAGGTAGGGGGTGTGCAGGATACAGCCCACTATTGTGAGCTCACGGAGTTTCTCGCTCCCTTTCCCTTTTTTTTTTTTTTAAATATATTTTATTGATTTTTTACAGAGAGGAAGGGAGAGGATTAGAGAGCCAGAAACATCGATGAGAGAGAAACATCGATCAGCTGCCTCCTGCACGCCCCCCACTGGGGATGTGCCCGCAACAAAGGTACATGCCCTTGACTGGAATCGAACCCGGGACCTTTGAGTCCGCAGGCCAATGCTCTATCCACTGAGCCAAACCGGTTCTGGCCTCCCTTTCCCTTTCTCTCTCTCTTAAAAAATTTTTTTATTTCCAAAATGAAATAAAAGCCTAACATAATGTAAGCTGAGATTCTATATATCCTGAGTGCTAATAGATGGCAGACGTTCTGATATATTAAGAGTAAATGAAGTTAAAGGAAGTAAGGTCCAGAGGGAAGGCATTGGTAAGTTAGTGGTAGTAACTTGAGGCAATGAAACAGACTGGGGAAAAAGTTTTCTTTTACTGACTGTGCTTTCCCCCTGTGGAAGAGAATTTGGACCTTTCTGCCTCTTTTTACTTCAGCTTTCTGGAAAGGTGATTTTTGAATCACAAAATTGTAAAAGGGGTCACTTTTTATCTTGCAATCTTCTGCTTAAAAGTCTGAGTATGTTTCTCTTTGTATTTGCAATTCGTCTCTACTCTAACTTTATTGGAAATAAACTAGCGTTTTGATTCCTATCTAATGCCTGTGTATATTTCTTAATTAGTTTATAACTTGATGGGAAGAGGAATGTGGTTTGTCCCTTCACAAATCCCAACATTGGCTTTTCTTCAATTTGGAAAATAAATCTATTTTACTTTATAGATGTTATCAACAGAAAGGTTTTGTGAATGTTTGAAGAGGTAGGGTTTAAAGAGGTAAATAAAAACTTAAGTAGAAGTATTTTGAATTAAATTAAGTCCTGCATTGTTATTTTAGTATAGCTGAGTGATTCTCATTGTAGAGGGTAGATTTTGTCCCCCAGACACTGTCTGGGGAAATTTTTGGTTGTCAGAAGTTGGGAAGGGAAGGAGGAGGGTATAGCTATTAACATCTCTAAGTAGAAGCCAGGGATGCTATTAAGCATGTTAAAATGTACAGGACAACCCTTCACAACAAAGCATTACCTGACCCAAATAATAGTCCTACTATTGAGAAACCCTGGTATAGTTTTATACTATACTAGAGGCCCCGTGCACAGATTTGTGCACTGGTGGGGTCCCTCAGCCTGGCCTGCACCCTCTCGCAATCTGGGACCCCTTGGAGGATGTCGGACTGCCGGTTTTGGCCCGATCCCTGGCTATTGGGCTGAAACTGGTAGTTCAACATACCCTGAGGGGTATAGTAGTGTGTGAAGCGGCAGGCAGCTGCAGATAAGCCTGAGCCCAGGCCAGGCGCCACTCCGCTCCCGCTCACCTGGCCCCGCTGCACCTGCTGCCACTTCTGCTCCGCAGTGGTGGGAGAGGCTTGTGCAGCAGCAGCTGTGCCTGCCAGCTGTGAGCCTGGCATCTGGTGCCTGTTGGTCAGCTGAGTGGTACTTCTGTGGGAGCGTACTGACCACTGGAGGGGGGGGGTAGCTCCGGCATTGAGTATCTGCCCCTTGGTGGTCAGTGTGTGTCATAGCACCAGTCGACCAGTCATTAGACCGTTCAGTTGTTGGATCGCTTAGGCTTTTATATATATAGAAGATTACATTGTTGGTTCTGAAGGCAGGTTATCTGAATTTCTTTGGCTTTACCATTTCCTAATGTGTTGCTAAAGTCTGCCTCAGTTTCTGTAAAACAGAATTAATAATAGTATGTCCTTCGCCCTGACCGGTTTGGCTCAGTGGATAGAGTGTCGGCTTGCGGACTGTCGGGTCCCAGGTTCGATTCCGGTCAAGGGCATGTACCTGGGTTGTGGGCACATCCCCAGTAGGGGGTGTGCAGGAGGCAGCTGATCGATGTTTCTCTCTCATCGATGTTTCTAACTCTCTATCTCTCTCCCTTCCTCTCTGTAAAAAATCAATAAAATATATTTTTTTTAAAAAACTGTTAACTTTCAGCTAATATTAATACATTTTGAACATGTCTTGATGATCTCTCCTTATTTATCATCTGAAATTAGAATTTGAGCTAGTGAGAATTAATAACCTAGTTCTTATATCCTTGGGGAGTGAGTGAAGAATTACTCTTTTTTTTTTTTTTTTATAAATATATTTTATTGATTTTTTTACAGAGAGAAAGGGAGAGAGATAGAGAGTTAAAAACATCGATGAGAGAGAAACATCGATCAGCTGCCTCCTGCACATCTCCCACTGGGGATATGCCCGCAACCCAGGTACATGCCCTTGACCGGAATCGAACCCGGGACCCTTCAGTCCGCAGGCCGACGCTCTATCCACTGAGCCAAACCGGTTTTGGCGAGAATTACTCTTTTTAATATTTGTGTTCAGTTATATCAGTCTTGTTTTATGTTCTCAAGTCTATAAGGCTTCTGCCATAAACAAATAGCTTCTCATTGTTGATGTTTTTCCTTCATAGTTAAGACTTTAAGCCAACTGGCCAACAGCTCTGTCTCTGTTGAGTCTCAGCAAATATTTAGTAATATAACAGAATTCAATTCTGTGACTTGATTCCCATTTCCTCTTGCCTTTATAAAATGAAATAAATTTACATGGTTTTGACTTACATTAAGTATCTGTTCTCAGAGCCTCTGGGAGTAACTATTTTTGTGAGGTTTTGGTGCAATATTGCATGTACTAAGGGTATAGGAAAGAACCTTAACAATTTGAGACTAGGCCTTCAGATACATTTGAGACTCTTTTTCTAAATCTGAATTGGAAACCATATATTTATCTTTTTTATATGAACTCTCATTTTCTGTGTGTCTAAACAATAAGGGCTGGCTTGTTATGGTGATGGTTTAATACAGCCTTTACAAAGAAAAACATCACAGGGATGTCCTCACAGACAAAACAGAGACTTTGGTCTGTTTGTTAATAAGTCATAGGGCTCTTGTAAGGGAAAAAGATCCATGCCATATTATGATCAAGAGAGAAAGCAGTGTTGCCCTGGCTGGTTTGGCTTAGTGGAGAGAGCGTCGGCCTGCAGACTGAGTGGTCCCAGGTTCGATTCCGGTCAGGGGCATGTACCTTGGTTGTGGGCACATCCCCAGTGGGGGGTGTGCAGCAGGCAGCTGATTGATGTTTCTCTTCGATGTTTCTAACTCTCTAATCCCTCTCCCTTCCTCTCTGTAAAAAATCAATAAAATCTATTTTAAAAAGAGAGAGAGAAAGCAGTGTTAATACATTCAACTTTTTGTCTTGATAACCCTACCATTTTATTATGGTTGTTACCCAAATTGTAATATAAGTCTCAATTGTTGGTATAAAAGTTCACTCATTTTAGCTAATGGAAACGTTTGTTTACTCTCTATATTGGTACTGCCTCCTGTTTGAATAGAGTCATTTGAAGGGAGTCAATATGTTTGGTCAAGAGGTTGTATTCATTGCTTGGCACATTCCACCTTTTGTAAATAATATACACTGAGGATTGTGTATAAATAATAAATTGTGATCTGGAAACTGTGGCCAGATCAGAAATATACATGTGAGAAGTATAATAAAAGGCCAAAGGGAAACATTCTATGAATGTTTGGCAAACTGAAGAAAAAAAAATCATGTTAATAAGAGTTCTTGTCTTTACTGTTATCTTTTTGTGGTTTAATGATCTAGAAGAAAAGAGGGTATAAATTATATAGGTATCTGGAATATGTTCCTATGGGATATAAAATATATTACTACAGAACATACAGATTTATTTTCTACCTATACACTTTTTCAGTTCCTAAGCAGAGAACATTAAGCTACTAAATCAGTATTATAGTTGAATTTGTGTGGCATTTGTTCCTACCCGTGATTAAATTGAGAAAAACAAGTATCTTTGAATCTGCTGATGTGTGTTTGTTTATAAGTGGTCTGGAGTCCTGCCTGTTAGCCTAATTTTAGGTTTCCTGCATAGTTGTTGGAAGACAGACTATTTTCCCACTGAATGCTGTCATACAGATATATATTTGTATATATATATTTATGCATATTTGTTTTTTTATTTTTGGTAGAAAATGATGCATCCTGTTGCCAGCACTAACCCAGCTTTCTGTGGGCCTGGCAAGCCTTCCTGCCTTAATGAAGATGCCATGAGAGCTGCTGATCAGTTTGACATATATTCCTCCCAGCAAAGCAAATATAGCCACACAGTCAGCCACAAACCAATGGCTTGTCAGAGGCAAGACCCATTAAATGACACGCACTTGCAGACTACAAGTGGCAGAAGCATAGAGATAAAAGATGAACTAAAGAAAAAGAAAAATCTCAATCGATCTGGTAAGCGTGGCCGGCCTTCTGGAACCACCAAATCAGCAGGATACCGGACCAGCACAGGCAGACCCTTGGGAACCACCAAAGCGGCTGGATTTAAGACAAGTCCAGGCAGACCTTTGGGAACAACCAAAGCTGCGGGATACAAAGTCAGCCCGGGGAGACCTCCAGGTAGCATTAAAGCTCTCTCCCGTCTTGCCGATCTTGGTTATGGCTGTGGCACTGCTGCTTTTCCTTACCCTATGATGCACAGCAGAGCAGTTCATGGGGTCGAGGAAACCAGCAGTGAAGTCAAGCCACCCAGTGAGTGAATGAGGCAGGAAAGGAGGACCAGGTTTAGAAGGAAGATTGTGAATAATCCCAAAGCTTCTTGGTTTTATTTTGACATACATGATTTTGTGACCTGGGCTTTCTTTCCACATTTGTTTTCCTGTTTTTTTGTTTGTTTTTCCTGCTTTTGCTCAGAAACTGCCATATGCTGACAGATACACTCGGCACAAGCAGTGGCATTGAATTTGTACATAGATTCAAGTATAACATCTAACTAAAAAATTTTTGCTTTTCCTTTACAGTTACGGTTGTGTCTCATATTTCATTACTGCTTTTGGGCCATTCTAAATAGATGCTTTATGTATTAAAACAACAGAATCCATTATACCCATTAGTTTGTGAAGTAAGCCTACAATATAAGAAAGATAATATCTAAGGTATCTTTAACTGATGGAACAAGGCAAACTAATAATTCACGATTATTTGAAGTATGGCTGTTAGTTTTTGCAACTTTTATTTTCATGGGACAGGACACACATTTATATGCTTTGGCATTTACTTAGACTTCAGATGTTAAAAATTTTATTTTTAATGTTCTAGGTTTAGGCAACTTCTTATTTATTGATTTAAATGGCATTAACTGATTTAACCATTTGTTCCTAAAGGAATTATTTAATGTTTGCCTTTCAGCAATGATAGGTTGTGTCTTTTTTAATTGCCTAAGAGCATATGTACCAAACACTACAAACGATTCAAACTTTTTAATAAAAACTGCATATTACATTTTTGGTGAAATACAGTACATTCTGAGAATAGCATATGTAATATAATAGAAAAAGAAACATTCTTAAGGTTTGCATGGAACTGTATTCACTACATTTTGCCTTTCATAGACTTAGTTGTAAAGCATTATGCTTAAAACATTTATTGTTGTTCATTTATTCAGAATGTTTAGTGTTTTGTTGTGTTTCTTTTTCTGAGAAATTGTTGCATTAGCACTTACTGTGGATTCAGGTTTATACCTACCAAAGGACACAAACTGAATGGTAGACTAAAACTGCTATAAACAAAATGCAGTTTTCTGACTGTCAGAGTACAGATATTAAGAAATATATAGGAATCCATCTGAGCATGGAATATGTAAAATATATGTGGGTTAGTTTAATTAAACACCTAATTGTGGCTCCAGTGAGACCACACCCAAAGTTTTTCCAGCAGTGTTTGCTTTAGAAGTAAGATAGATGGAAAAGAAAAAAAGTATTGGGTATAGTAGGGACGGAAGGAAGTCTTCTTGACCCCTTTCTGAAAGTAATATTTTTTTGTTGATAAACATTTTATTTATCCCAAGTTTGCTCTGAATAAACTATTATAAACTTTGGATTTGAAAAAAATTCCACTGAACTTTAAAGTTACAATGTATGTATTTGTGATTTAAAATGCCTTTGAGATTATAATGTATATTTGCAGGACCCAAAAACTTTTAAAGTGATTAAAAGTTTAAAAAGGCACATATTGTGTTGTTTGGGCTTGCTCTCAGTTAATACAAACTCTGATTGCAAATGGATGTCATGTTTCGTACCTTTTTTATCAGGAAAAAAGCAGCAAGCCTTCAGGTGTTCCAGTGATGCCTGACACAATGAGCTGGAGTTTTTGCTGCTCTTTACAGTAAGAGGTGTTGCATTGTATGTGGGGACTGTGTGTGCACTGGCATCTAAGACAGTGACCTCAGCAATTTTAGCTTTGCACAAACCATAGCGAACAATGTTGGATGATTACATAATCAGTTGCAACATTCAGGCAGCTAAATTGGAGAAGCCTAAACTATAAAATTTTAATCATTTACTCAGAACAGTATAACTTTTGACACACACAAATGCATACATCTTTACTCATATATTTATCTACTTTTATTATCTGTCATTTAGCTATTTCTCAGATTGATGTTCAGCAGTTGGCTACTTAGAAATCCTGTTTTGAGTTCCTGAAAACGGTTGTTTAATTAAATATTCTACTGTAGAATAATATATACCACTGTCAAGGATTTGGTTGCATGATGTGTTTTTATATGTCTATTTGACATTGCCTTTTCAGTTTATTTTGATTCCAGATTTTGTTATACATAACCTTCCCTTTCTCTCTGCCCTTTCCAACATTCATTCCCTCCCATTTTCCCCATCCTCCAGCACATCTACTCAGTGGTGCTGTGCTGTGTGTCAGAAGGTAAAGCAGGTGTATTATTGTATACTGATTTTTTTTATCCATTTTAATGAAATGGTGAAATCAACTAAAGGAAGTATGTGCATAACAGTGTTTATTAGTATCAGGAGCTGTGTCCCAGGGAAGAAAGGGGGCAAATGGCTACAGTTGTGAATGGATAACATCGTTTATAAAACTGAATTTTCTGTTTATGAGCTGTTACTTGGAGTACTAGATCTGTGCTGGTGAGCATCTCCTGATTCTACTTCCTTTTCTCCTTGTGAACAGTTTATTGATGCCATGCTAAAGAGAAAGACACATCTAAGTGATAACATGAAGTGTTAAACTAGAAAATATTTTTACTAATCTATACTCTAAACACTACATTGTGCATCTTTTGTAACACTGTCTCTTGTCATGACAAACACTGAAATAGCATGTTAAAATGCCTATACTTTAATATAATCAGTTGGGGAAAACTGGCCTTTTCCTCCCACTGTATGATTGTTCCTTTGTTCCTTTAAAGGTAAATTGCTAATTTTATGTTGTGTAATTCTCTTCACAAAATAGGTTTCACTATTCTATATTAAAACTGTTGGTCAGAAAATTATCTGCTGTTCAAGTAAGTTTGCTTTACTTTTTTCTTTAAAAAATATTTTAACATGCCTTATTTATTACTCTTACATTAACCAATGAGCTAATGCAGATGAAATTTTCATTTTTTGACAAATATAACCTTGCATAATTAATCTTTAGTAGGGGATGATTTTGATACAATCTTTGGAGTTTTGCACTGGATATTAAAAAATACTGGCATGTTGTGTTGGAAGAAAAGTATCTGCTTAATTTTTAATATTTGGGGACATTTTTAAAATCAGTGATTCAATTAGACTAAAAAATTCTTTATTTTTATTTACTTTTTAAAAGAAACATGTTAAAGTAATAAAAGTAATATTCATTCCAAACTGACGTTTGTGTGAATTTACATGTTTATTTTCATGAAGTAAGAATAGAGTTTGAGTTAAGGAGGAAAAAAATTATCTGAAATCATTTACTTAGGTTAAAGGTAATCCATCCAGTGTAAGGAAAATCAGTGTACCAGTTAAAGAGAAAAAAAACACCAACCTTCTCTTTTATATTTTAAGAAGCTTTAAAAGAACAATTCAGGGGATGTTGACTATAACTGCTACTCTGTCAGTCATTGTCTTTATATGCAGAAACATTTTATGATCCCTTTATAGTAAAATAGAAGAACTTACAGCAGTTGTTGAAAACATGTTTTCCTTGGACATAAAATATTTTGATGCTTTAGGTTTCTGTTTTTATTATAGCTTATTATAGCTAACTATATCCTATTAAACTCTAGGATGTATCTAAATCTTTGCTTTTCCTCCATCACCCCCAAGTAGATAAATCCGTGCTTTCACATATAATGTATTAATTTTTGGAAAATTAAATGCTATAGTAAATCAAGTGTGTGATTTATAGTAATCAGACCACTTTGATTCTTTAAGCTTCACAGTTTCCTTTTTCCACAGATAATTACAGAGAAAATAATTACCAATTAACTGATATAAGCACGCTGTCCTCTGCTGTAAAAAGTCTGAATAGATACTGTGTATGTTTTTATGTCCATGAACTTGAGCTACTCATGTGCAATTGTGTGTATGGGAATGGAGTAGTGTTCATGATTTGTATCTACATCATCATATGGATGTATATTTATTAATAAAGTCATTACTTTAAAACCAACTATGTTTACCACTTTATTTCTGTAAGTAGGGAAATGGTAAAGGATAAACCTTTTTTTATGACCATGGATCTTGTATTTTCTTGGATTGTGCTTTCTGAAATCTCCTCTACACTTTTGTTTTTTCTCAAAACAGTAATATTTATGTATTTTAATGTAAAATTTAACTTATAAATGGATCTTATTTTCTTTTTTATTTCTTGTCTTTTTTATATATATATATATTATTTTACTGTTTTTTTACAGAGAGGAAGGGAGAGGGATAGAGTTAGAAACATTGATGAGAGAGAAAGATCCATCAGCTGCCTCCTGCACGCCCCCTACTGGGGATGTGCCGCAACCAAGGTACATGTCCTTGACCAGAATCGAACCCGGGACCCTTCAGTCTGCAGGCCGACGTTCTATCCACTGAGCCAAACCGGTTCGGCTATTTCTTGTCTTTTTGATAGTAGCCATTCTAACAGGTGTTGGACTTACTCTTAAATGCAGAGAAATTTTTTACTATTTAAGTAAAAAAACACTTTAATTAGTAATTTTCCCAAGCTTTCAAGTAGTCGAATAAATTCAGCAAACATTAGTAACTGTTGAGCACATACCCTACAGTGTGGCAGCTCACATTATGAATAAGATAGTCTCTACCCTCAAGGAACCCATAGTGGAAAACAAATGCCTTAATATGTAGAATTAAACAATGTAATGCCAATTTTTATTCAGAATTGACATTTTAAGATACTTTATCTCTCAAATTAGCTAATTTTAGCACAGAGCCGGTGAAACTAAAGCCCATCTGCCTAGCCTTAAGCTTTAGGCTAGTTTTTAGATGAATTTCACAAGAAAAACTGATTGCTGTGCTTATTCTCTATTAGCTCAGAAGGATCAGGTCAGAGATCTTCATAAGTTGTGGTAATGCTGCCTTTTAAATCATGTTGGGAGCTACTTATGTGGCTGTTGTGCTTCCTCTGTCACATAAAGAACTTTAGATCATCAGCCCATGCATCCAAAGGCCTTGGGTTTGGTTCCTGATCAAGGGCATGTGCTTAGGTTGCAGGTTTGATCCCCAGTGGGAGGCAACCAATTGATGTTTCTCTCATATCTCAAACTCTATTCTTATCACATGTTTCTCTCTCTCTCACCCCCCACTGCCATCCCCTTCCACTCCCTCTAAAAGATTGTGTGTTTTTTAAATCATGAGTGGGTGTTAGATTTTGAGACATCCTTACAGGCATACCCAGAAATAATGTTTTACCAGCTATCTGGGCATCCCTTTAGCCAATTTAAATTTACACTTAACATTAACCATCACTGTAGTCTTTGATCATCTTGGCCTAGCTTCTTTATTTCATTAGGGGCTGCAAAATGGCAGTTTTAAATTCTATTGTTTCTTTATCAATTAGGTCAGATATTTCTTTTTTTGTTTGTTTTTTGTTTTTTGTTTTACTTAAAATTTTTACTAGTAAAATAATTTTTTCAATTACAGTTTACATTCAATATTATTTCATATTAGTTTCAGGTGTACAACATAGTTGTTAGACAATCATATATTTTATAAAGTGTTCCCCCTGACATTTCCGGTACCTAACTGGCATCATACACAATTATGACAATGTTATTTTTTTTTATTTATTTTTATTTTTATTTTTATTTATTTATTTATTTATTTTTTTTTTAAATTAAATCTTTATTGTTCAGATTATTACATTTGTTCCTCTTTTTTCCCCCCCATAACTCCCCTCCTCCCAGTTCCCGCCCCACCCTCTGCCCTCACTCCCCACCCACTGTCCTCATCCATAGGTGCACGATTTTTGTCCAGTCTCTTCCCGCATCTCCCACACCCCTTTCCCCCCCAAGAATAGTCAGTCCATTCCCTTTCTGTGTCCCTGATTCTATTATAATCACCAGTTCATTCTGTTCATCAGATTATTTATTCACTTGATTCTTAGATTCACTTGTTGGTAGATGTGTATTTGTTGTTCATAATTTGTATCTTTACCTTTTTCTTCCTCTTCCTCTTCTTAAAGGATACCTTTCAGCATTTCATATAATCCTGGTTTGGTGGTGATGAACTCCTTTAGCTTTTCCTTATCTGTGAAGCTCTTTATCTGACCTTCAATTCTGAATGCTAGCTTTGCTGGATAAAGTAATCTTGGTTGTAGGTTCTTGGTATTCATCACTTTGAATATTTCTTGCCACTCCCTTCTGGCCTGCAAAGTTTCTGTTGAGAAGTCAGCTGACAGTCGTATGGGTTACCTTGTAGGTAACTGAGTTTCTTTCTCTTGCTGTTTTTAAGATTCTCTCTTTATCTTTTGCTCTTGGCATTTTAATTATGATGTGTCTTGGTGTGGTCCTCTTTGGATTCCTTTTGTTTGGGGTTGTCTGCGCTTCCTGGACCTGTAAGTCCATTTCTTTCACCAGGTGGGGGAAGTTTTCTGTCATTATTTCTTCAAATAGGTTTTCAATATCTTGCTCTCTCTCATCTTCTGGCACCCCTATAATTCCGATGTTGGTACGCTTGAAGCTGTCCCAGAGGCTCCTTACACTATCCTCGCATTTTTGGATTCTTTTTTCATTTTGCTTTTCCGGTTGGGTGTTTTTTGCTTCCTCGCATTTCAAATCATTGACTTGATTCTTGCGCTCCTCTGGTCTGCTGTCGGGAGTCTGTATAATATTCGTTATTTCAGTCCGTGTATGCTTAATTTCTAATTGGTTCCCCAATATAACATCGAGGGTCTCATTAGTTTTCTTGTAGATCTCATTAAGTTTATCGGCGGCTTCTAAACAGTTCTTGAGAGACCTTAAAAGTGTGGTTCTGAACTCTATATCTTCCATTGACAATTTTGTCCTGTTTCTTTGTCTCCGCATTTTGTTATGCTTCCTTGGTGCACCCCCTAGTGGTCTTTGTGCGCAGTCTTATAGTTAAGCCTTGATTGTTGTAGCTAATACCACGGAGGGTTTGACCTCCGGGCCAAGTGACTATGAGAATCAGCTGTGTCAGCAGTGAGAGAACTTCTGTCCTCTAGGGAGGTGCTAATCTGGCGTTTGCCTGAGGCTATCTGGCAAATGCCTCTATGCAGGGCTTGGGCGGGGCGGGTCGCACAGGATCAACAGGGTGGGCCGGAGAGAGCAGTTATGGCGGCTCTCAGTCCTGTCCCCAGGGGCTCTGCCTCTCTGAGTCCCAGCACCTGCTGCAAACCTCGGAGAGAAAGCTGCACTCGCTCTGACCGAAGCCAGACAGTCCCACTTCTCCCGTTTGAGTCTGGGTCCCTAAAGACTCGCCTGTATCTGGAGCTCAGAGTCTGCGACTCCCTCCCGATTGAAAACGCCAACCGCGCCCTCCGCCGCCAGCCCGCTCCGCGCACTCCGCACCTCAGAATTTGACTTCAGCACTGTGCCTCCTCTGAGTGTCCGTATGTGTTTCTCTTTCCTCCTAGTTGTAGGACTTCCACTCAGCCAGCGTTCCTGTGGTTCTGGGTGACGTCCGTTCCGTCTTTTATTTTCACTTTTGAAGTAGTTGTTCAAAGCAGCAAACTCCGGCGTTAACCTATGCCGCCCTCTTGGTTCTCCCTCTCTTTTTTAGACAATTATGACAATATTATTGACTATATTTCCTATACTGTATTTTACATCCCATCACTGTTTTGTAACTACCAATCTGTATTTCTCAATCCCTTCACCCTTTTCACCCAGTCCCCCCCAATTAGGTCAGATATTTCTATACTAAAAACCTTCCCCTCATCAAATACTTGGTTACCCTGAAATAATTCTTGTCAGGCACATAAATGCCAGATTCTTTCCTTTTACCTACCAGTTTTCTGAATGAATTGGCTCTCCATCATCTTCCAAAGGTGATTAAGAATTTTTTTTTTGGTATCAGTATGAACTCATAGATTCTAAGGTGATTTATTTCTGGCTATTGAAATTACTCATTTTTATGCTCAAATTGTTTCATCTTTAGCTAGTAGGAGCCAGTTTGGCTCCTTACTCATTTTAACATAATCCTAGTATATCAAGATGGTATGACTTAGCAAAGCAATTTAGGGAAGCAGTGTGCTCTGTCTTGAATTTTAGGGTGTTTGGGGTTTAGAAGAATGTCCTCCATTTTTTAAAATTGCTATTTTATAAAATACAAAAACTGAAAGGATCTACAATGGCATATTGGCATATTAAATTTTTTTTTTTTTCCCCTGGCTGGTGTGGTTTGGTTGGAGCGTTGTCCCATACACCAAAAGTTCCATTCTGGGTCAGGACACATACCTAGCTTGCTGGTTTGGGTCAGACAGGGCTCATCCGGGAGGGAGGCAACTGATCGATGTCTCTCACATTGATGTCTCTCTTTTTCCCTCCCCCCCTCTAAAAATTCAATAAAAAATATCTTCGGGTGAGGATTAAAAAAATTTTTTTGGCAAACAAAGGATATTTAAATAAAGATAGGTGGGATAAGGAAGGAAAACAAAGAAAAGCACAGTTTAAAGTGCTATACTAGTATATTCAGCCTGAGATCTGTTGCTAATAAACTTCTGATTCTAGGGTATCCCTCTGAGCAGGCATTGGAAGTGTAAGATAAGCCTTTTTTCAAATTATAGTCCTTCCCTGCACACGGATGTCTTACCCATATCAGTTTCTTCTTCTTTTTTTTTAAATACATTTTTATTGATTTTTTACAGAGAGGAAGGGAGAGGGATAGAGAGTTAGAAACATCAGTGAGAGAGCAACATTGATCAGCTGCCTCCTGCACACCCTCCACTGGGGGTGTCCTCGCCACCAAGGTACATGCCCTTGACCGTAATCAAACCTGGGACCCTTCAGTCTGCAGGCCGACGCTCTAGCCACTGAGCCAAACCAGTCAGGGCCCCATTATCAGTTTCTTGCTTTGATAAAGCACCCTCTGAGCTTTTTTCCCTCTCCCTTCCCTCCTGCCATGGCACTCCATTTGGATAAAGGTTTGTTTTTTCACGGCACTTGGTAAAGTATTATTTTTGTTGCAATCTATGTATATAAAAGCCTA